CCCCCACCCCCCACCCCCCGCCCAGCTCACATGCACAGCGGCGGCAGCGCGACGCGCACGACGAAGAAGACCGCCGCAAACGTCTTGAACGCCGTGTCCTTCACGCCCGCCAGCCGCGGCAGCCCCGCCGCGTGCAGCGCCTTTGCAGAGTGCAGGAAGAAGTTCGAGGTGTCCAGGACGGCCATGCCCATCATGCCGTAGCGGTGGAGGCCGCCGTAGTAGGCAAACATCTGGCGGGAGGTTTTATTTTTTCGTGGGCACGGGCGGAAGTGGGATTTCAGGGAATAGGGGTCGAGGGTGCGAGGCGGACGCTGCAAGAGCACATTGGGCTGGGCGCAGGGTGTGTGTGTGCGAGCCGGAGTCAGGATAGGGTGCAGGGCTCTGCATCACCAGAGGCCTGGTGCCGGCGCGAGCTCCGCACACACTTCAGGGCTCCATGCATCCGCCGCCACCAGTCCCGCACAACTCCACCCCTGCCGCCGCCGCCGCCCTCGCCGGCACATCGCACCAAAACCTGCCAAGCAGCGGCGTGAGACACGAAAAACAGCCAGGGCCTCCCCTCCCCCACGAGCATCCCGATCGGGCGCCCCATGGCGCCCCGCCCGCCCCGCCCCTCCTCGATGGCCGCCCGATGGAGCGTGAAGTTCTCACCATGAGCGCGATGGTGACCACGTGGTGCGCCACCATCTCGCGCCCCAAGGTGAACCCGATGCCGCCCAGCAGCGTCCCCACCATCTCCCCCACGTACATGCCGCCCATCGTCAGCCACCACCAGCGGAACTGCTCGGAGGAGGTTTCGTTTGGTGCAGTTGTCGCGGGGTCGGTAGTGGTTGAGTGTTGAGACACCGGGAAAGCGTGGTGGTTGGTGGACAATTAATTTGACATCCCTATCAATTGAGGAGGGGATACAAAGACATCAACAACAGCTCTTATTATCATCATTGTGTAATCTGGGAACAGTGGCTGCGCGTTCGTAGCGGAGAGGACAACGAAGCCAAGGCGCCAGAGCCGAGGACGTGGGGTGGCGCGCGCACAGCGCCGCCAGACATGCGCACGCGAGAGCGCTTATGGCAGACACTGTATTTGTGTTTGTGTTGTTTGTTTGTTTGTTTGTTTGTTTGTTTGTTTGTTTGTTTGTTTGTTTGTTTGTTTGTTTGTTTGTTTGTTTGTTTGTTTGTTTGTTTGTTTGTTTGTTTGTTTGTTTGTTTGTTTGTTTGTTTGTTTGTTTGTTTGTTTGTTTGTTTGTTTGTTTGTTTGTAGGCACAGATGGCAAAGACGCGGAAGCGCACCTCTCCGGACACGGGGTGCGACGGCCATCCAGCGAGGCAGCCCTTGGGGGCCGCCGGGGTGCAGGGCCCGTTGTGGTTGAGCATGACCCACCAGCCCCACACCGTCATGGGGCCCATGAACGCCGCCAGGAAACCGTTCTCGACCACCTGAGATGCAAGTTTGGAGGGAGGGGGGGGGGCAGTTGAATGTGTTGCGCGATGCTTGCGCACGCCAGGCGGTGCTGCACGCCTGGCCCAGCGGCGCCGCCGCCGGACGGCGCGCGCGCGCGCACTCACGTACGCACACACACACACTCGCACGCACGCGCGCGCACACACACAAACACACACGCATATGCACATGCACACACTCCCTGGCATGACCCTCCGCACACAGCCAAGGCGTGAGGCGCTGTCTAGAATCTAGGGGGCAAGAAACACATGCAGAACAATTCAAGTGAACACATGGAAAACGCACACACTGGCGCGAAAGACGGGCGGCGGGACCCACCTCTCTCGCCCGCTGCTCCGTGCCCTGCGACTCTCCGTTGGACAGCACCTTGAGCGCCCGCTTCACGCGGGGGACGAGCAGCTGCTCGGCAGCTACCCGGAGCGCGATGAGGGCGAAGCCCTGGAG